TTGCTGGGATTTACTGACATTTTTACCCTAGACAGTCATAAGAATTCATAAGAAAGAGTATATCCTTTTTTCCTGTATGAGCAGTTTTCATATTTGTTCTTGAAGTGCACCAGAACACTGCAACCCCCTCTCCCTGTTTGCTAATTGGTGGGAGACTGGGAGCTTCCTGCTGTGCATTCACAGCTTCTCTCTTTGCTTTGCCACCCCATCAGGTCTTTCACCATCACTCTGCAGAACCCAGTAATTAACCCTCAGCTAATTAACTACTTCTAATTACACTAGTGCGCTGTTTCCATCACACCTTGGGAAACTGGACGAACTCTGATGCAGTATCAGTCTTTTCAAATCTGTCTCTATCACTGAATCCCACCACCTTGATCAACTCTGATTTTACTGCGTTGGTCTCTTTGGTAACTTTTTCCATTTGTTTTCTTTTCCATTTGCAGTATTGCAATAGAGTTGTGTAAAGGATAAAAATAATTTTTCACATTATGCTTCAGGTCCACTGATTTTATGCAACAAGTTTTTTTTGTTTTAATTTCTACAAAAATTGAGAGATGTTGAAGTACATTTTGTCTGGTTAGACTGTGTTAACTATTTTTGTCATACTTTATATTTTGTATGACAACCAACAGCTACCAACAAGCATAACGGTGAACTACATGCCTTGATTCAGACGCACTTGAGAAATTTTCCCAGACATGCCAGGGAAGAGTCTCCTGCACATACAGTCTCTGCTGTAAACACACATGACTGTTCCTCCATGCCTCAGACTCGACACAGCGCTAGCTCGACACAGCGCTAGCTATTTCTGTTTCACAGACTGATAGCTCCCACTGAACATCATTGATTTTACGGGAAGCCCTGTTTACAGGCTGAGTGCCATCGACCTGAGGTGACTTTTTACCTCCTGCAGTTAGAGCATCCTTATGTCTGCATTAGTGGAAGAAAAGGCTGAACATTTACAATTCACAATTAACAACACTAGATGAGCAGTTGTCACAATTGCAATTTTGGGAAAAAAGAGAACAAGAACATATTTTAGTCATGTTTTGTAATTTAAAAAAAAAATTTGGGCCTACTAAAGTTACTCAAAGTTATTTGGTGATAGTAAAATACTGGGAGGTATTCTCTTTTTTACTGGCATCTTTTTAGTAAAATATTTGCCTGTTTGACATTTTTTCCTATTTGAATGTTGCAATTATTCAGTTCATGGATACATTTATTTCTTTTTTTTTTTAACATTATTCTGGCGAGTTATTAAGATTTCTTTCTTAATGAGTTGATTCAGGAAATAATTTTGGCAGGACACATAAATTCGAGTGCAACACATTTACATTTCCCTCATTGTTAGAGTGAAATGTTGAGGAAGCAAGGATTCACTAAACTAACGTTAAAGTGAATGCATGCCTTTATTGGTGATTAAGTGGAACAAACCTGGGAGATAAACCCAGGCTTCTCCCTGCCCGAGGACTACAATAGTTCCCTCGTCAATGAGCATGTCCCTGGTGCAACATCAAAAGCCTTCCCCTGCTTTATCAATAAGAATCCTTCCTTCCCACATCTTCCTGTAACTTGCTTAGCGTTCACGCCATTGATTTTTCAATAAGCGCCCCTTACCCTGCGGTGGCTGGCCTGGCTCTGTGATGGCTCAGAGACTAGACACAGACAAGCTACATCACTGAGGAACAATTGAGAATCAGATCTGCTGTATCGTTAGTGGTCCTTGAGGCATATTAAGTAGCTCTGTCTTTTCCGTTTCAAACAGGAGGTCTCTCATTGCTGACGTATATTCGGATAGAAGTTTTGGTCTCTGTCCTACCTATAATTTTTGCAGCTTGTGTGAGAGCTTATTCTCTCAGGACCCCCTTGAAAACAGTGGTACTCTAGAGGCACTAACAAGGCTTCAAAGCAAGTCATCAGCCGTACTTATAATCAAATGGTTCCTTGGCCTTAAATTCTTACCCTGCATGGTAAATCACGCCAAATGAAAAGACCTGTAACTTAGATCTAACTAATAAAAACAACCAAATGACATCCAAATTGTGGCGTTGCTCATAAGATCAGAAGCTTATTTAAAAGAGATTAAAGCTTTTCCTGTTATTACTCAGAAGTTGTGGAATAATGTCTTTTTTTCATGAGAAGAAGAAAGCAAAACAATTCTGGCAAGTGTCTTTGAAGGAAGGTGGCACTAGAGGGTGATTTCTACTGTCTGGCACACTCTCTTTTATATCAGCTTAGGAATCCAGCCTTTTCTTCCTTGCGATTATCTCATATTGTCAACTAAAGCTTGTTTTGGCTGCACACAGCCTGCTTATTGTGAACTTAGTGGGCCCACATTTAGAACTACAATGCAACCTAGGCTGCAGGGGCCATGGTTTCATCACTTGTTGTGCTGCCAGCATGCAAAAATAATTGTTTTATTTCTGGATATGACATGATACTGCATATCTGTCCATAATAATGCTTGGTTGTAGTCACCTTCAGCGGGCTCCTCCTTCATTTTGATTTGTGGTTATTAACATAGTCAGCACTCAGAGACTCCAGCCTCCTCCACTTCCCCTCTCCTTCGACTGCGTCTCTGTGTCTGTCTCCTGTACTTGTTTAGTGCCTCCCAGAGATTAAAGCTTTTCCTGCTTTAAACAGGTGTCACTGAGCCAGGCAGACATCCAAGAGACAAACAGTTTTATATCAGTTGGGCCCATCTGCGACTTTCCGACTCCAGACAATCCCATTGCTCATCTGTAACCACTGTAGGTTATTGAATTACACCATCTTGATTTTAAAGGGCAATCCTGTTTTCTGTAAGCAGTGGGCACACCAAGCTAGCTCAGAGCTTCACCTCTGATCAAGAGTCATTGTGTTACCCTGACTACTGCTAATTGCTTGTGGTATCTTAGATATGTAATGGGAACTGAGGGCTACATACTCTCAGTATAGTAGCCCACACTGTACTCAGCTTGTTCACACTCATCAAGGCCAAAAGCAGGTCATTGTTAAGCAGCATTCTCAACTGCTAATCGTGCATTTGTGCAAACTTCCCCTTCGTAGCTACAACTGGAACATGAAGGAATGGGCAAATAAGTAATAAAAATAAAGCATGAAATATTCCCCTTTTTGATGTGGGAATATTTTCCTGTGAGACATTTCTTTCAGACAACTCTCATTTCTGTCCTTTTCCCACTTAATTTTGCACAATTTATCCTCTTGCTTTTAGCTTGAAGAATCACTCGGCCTGAAGTGGCTTTTCTTTTTTTTTTTCTTCTTCCACTCCTCAGCCGTCTGTCCATTTGTGTGAAATGGCCGTTGAGCTCATAGCCTCTTATTAATGGAGCAGATAATAAATACAGACCAGTAGGGCTAGTATCCCCTCACTCAATATGGCAGCCATCTTTAAATCATGTCTGGTTGTATAAAGCAATCTTGTTAATAAGCCAGCAAGTCTACCATCTTCAATATCTCATCAAATTATATGCAAACTAGCTCAAAGTTAAGGCTTACTTCATTCAGCATTAAAAATCTAACAGCTTGCACATCCTTTGATAAATGTGTGCACATTTCCAACATTTTTTTTAGTTAACTTTCTCTGTTTATTTTAGTTTCCACTGCCCTTCCTGTATTATGTCTTACTTGAATTATATTTTATGTTGCTTAATATTGTTTAGTTTCTGGTCTCTTACAGTTAATAATAAAGCCTTTGCACAAATTAACATCTTTAAAATAGCTGCGCATTATTTTTGTAGTGGGAGAGATTATAGGTTGAAGAGGTACTTTGCACAAGGGGTACTTTTCATCAGACATTCATGAATAGGCAGACAGACATTATCAATCTCTCCTCTTGCTCAGTGGTTAATGTGTTAGGCTGTGGGGGTAGACTTTATTCTGATCACAGCTGAAATTTGCATCTCTAAGTAAATAAGTAAATAAATCAAGTGCAAGCACTGAATTTGCTAATCAACCAAGACATGGCAGTGAGCTTGGTGCCGGGAAACTTTACTCATGTAATATTCAGCACTGGTGGGTTAAAGGGCAGCCCAGAGTTATTGGCTTCAGCCCGATTGCCCCCTTTAATCAATGTTGGCTGCATCCCTTTAATAAAATTATTAGCTCAGCAGTATCTTGTGTTATCATTTTATCTCTTCTGCGCTCTAAATTGCAGCCTGTGTTGGGCCTCTCAGATGCTCGGGGCATGGCCAGCTCCCGAAAGCTCAGCTCCCATTTATTATTTCAGAGGCGGATGATGGCTGGAGTGTTTGAAACCAGGCTAAGCTCAGAGGTTATTGGATGCAAGATCTAAACACAGCTGCAGTGAAGTTCCAACCCATCTTATGTATTTTGAGCTCCAAAAAAAATCCAGCCTTTTATTGCTGCTGTTAGTTTAGGCATTCCTATCCCAATAATACACATGATTTATATTTATCTTTTTTCACTGCAACTCCAATTGGAGTAATAACTGTAATACTGCTAACAATTTTTTAAACAACACATTTTCACCTTTCCTACAAGTTATGTAAATGCGTGATGTGCTGATGGGTGGCTTCTCGGTGTCTAATTATCTCACAAGAAATCTATTTGATCTATTAAGTTAGTCTGACTGCAAGTTAATTAAAAACGGATGTAGGATTTGCAGAATATAAGATTAAGGGTGTTGTTTGGAAGGTGAAGATAAAAGATGGTGCTTTTGTGATATGGCAGGAAGATGAATCGTGGATGGCTTATTAGTGCTTGTCTCAGGTATTGTGTTTAAGTGCCTAATCTAGCGTAATGAGTAGGGTGTCAGCTTTCCAATTATATCTCAGAGTTTTGGCTCTTGTTTAATTTGCCATGCTTTTGATATTCTTTTCTTTTACGGGTTCTATGCATATATTTTATATTTCTATATTTGTTTGTCTTTTCAATTGAGACAATAATTTTGCTTAAAATATGAACATTTTCTAGCTTTGACATGTAATTGTGTTCCATATATACAATTTATTAACCTCTTATATGTGTCTTTGCAGGCCTAGATGCGATGAACGCCTCATGTAGGCATCAGCATGGACAGCTGTGAGTCTCCCGTGGTTTCTGGGACAGAGGATGGGCTCAGCTCCTCCCAACAGCAGCAACCACCACAGCCCTGGAACGATCACTCAAGCTCACAGGTCACTTGCACCAACCAGGCCCCTTCTCTGGATACCCTGTCCCTCTCGGGGTCGTATCCTTCTCAGCCCCTGAACTCCATTGCCCCTCATGACGGGGTGAGAGACCTACAGTCACAGCAGCCGCAGCCAAAACAGAGTTTACCCCAGGCTCACCGTGATAGCTCTGCCATTGGCCAGCTGCATTCCAGGAGAGAGGGTCTTGAAGAAGTGGTACAGGAGGGAGTGAGTTGTGAAGAGGAAGAATCGGAGGACTTGGATGAAATGGAGATTGACAGCTGTTTTCCAAGTCTTCAGCCCTTTCCTGGAGTGCCAATAACTTCAGGAGTAGGAGGTATGCCCACTCTTTTGCGACATCAGCCCACGCAACAGCAGGGACCACCTGAGAGTGGGAGTGAAGAAGGAGAAGAGGAAGAGGAAGAGGAGAGTAGTGATGTGGAAAACTTGACTGGAGAGATAGTCTACCAGCCAGACGGCTCAGCATACATTGTGGAGAGCCTCAGTCAATTGATCCAAAGTAGTGGAAGTATGGTACCTGGCCTGCTTCCTACAAACTCTGTCACAAGTGGGGGAAAACTGGGAGAACCAGCTGGGGTTTCATCCTCAGTTTACCCACAGATCATCAACACTTTCCACATAGCATCATCTTTTGGGAAGTGGTTTGGTAACTCGGACCAAGGATTTCCCAATACCTCATCAATGACAGGTCTCAGCCCTGTCCTGCACAGTTTTCGTGTCTTCGATGTACGGCACAAAAGCAACAAGGATTACCTGAACAGCGATGGGTCTGCCAAGAAGTCCTGCGTATCCAAAGATGTTCCCAACAATGTGGATTTTTCCAAATTTGATGGACTAGCCCTTTATGGAAAGGGTAAGCCCATTCTAATGTGTTTTCTCTGCAAGTTGTCCTTTGGCTATGCTCGTTCCTTTGCCACTCATGCTGTCCATGATCACCGCATGACACTGTGTGAAGATGAACGGCAGCTGTTAGGGGACAAGCATGCCTCTGCCATCATCCAGGGCATTGGGAAGGACAAGGAGCCCCTTATTAGCTTCCTGGAACCAAAAAATAGGAGCAGTCCTCTGCCACCTACCTTGCTACCCATTAACTCTGGACAGAGCTTCTATGGTACATTTAGTGGTGTTCATTTGGAGCCTGGAAACAGCAGTGGGGGCAGTGAGACCCTCCTGAACAAAGACTCTGACTCTGGCCTTCTACAACAGCAGCAGCAACAAACACCACTTGGTTCAGTCCTTTCTATAGGTGGACTAAGTGTTTCCAAAGCATCCACTCTTACCTCTTCTCCTGGCTCTGCCAAAGACTCCAGTGCCCTGCCCAAACAGGGAGGGAGAATAGAGGAGCCTGTGGAGAAAGAGTTGGCATACAAGGGAGAAGATGTGAGAACTGAGGGACATGAAAGCAATGTGCAGCTATCCAACCAGTTGGGGGGCTCAGAAGAAGAGGATGAACTATTGTTAGGGGAAGAGGAAGATGAGGTGGAGGCAGAAAGCACTGCAGTGGCCTGTGGTGGTAACAGTAGCAGCGGTGGGAGTGAGGTGGGGGAACCAGCTGTCTCAAACCAAAGCAATTCCAAATCTCCTTTATTATTGCCTAGTAGCACTCTCCAGCCTTCTGCCTGCACCTCTGCAGTCAGTTCCACGCTCAACAGCAAAGCCCTTGCTTCCATTTCCTCCTCTGTCAAGGAAGAGGCTTCAGCTGCAGATGGTGGAGGGAGGACATCAGAGCTCCCTCTGAGCTTTAACTGCCAGGGACAAACAGTTCCCATGGCAATAGCGGCAGCTGCCGTCAGAAGGAGCGAGGATGACCCTGCTGGCACTTCTTCCTCACCTCTGTCCACCATTGCTGCTGCTGATGAAAGTGCCAATCGAGATAGTGCCACAGCTCCAGAACCAAATGATTGCCCAGCAGAAGGAGAGGATGAAAATGGAGCCCTTCTGCATCATCACCATATACACCACCATCATCATCACCTCCACTCGTCATCTCATGTTCACTCCCTCTCTCTCCCAGGGGGTTCTTGTGACATCACAGGGATGGGGGAGTGTTCACAGAACCATGGCCCAGGTGGGAGTGGAGGAAGCGGAGTAGAGTGTCCCAAATGTGATACCGTTCTGGGGTCATCACGTTCTTTAGGGGGTCATATGACTATGATGCATTCACGCAACTCATGCAAGACACTAAAGTGTCCCAAATGCAATTGGCATTATAAGTACCAGCAGACATTGGAGGCCCATATGAAAGAGAAACACCCAGACTCTGGAGGCTCCTGTGTGTATTGCAGCAGCGGTCAGAGTCACCCTCGTTTGGCTCGTGGTGAAAGTTATACCTGTGGATACAAGCCCTTCCGGTGTGAGGTAAGAACACAGAAAAGGTGCTAATGCTCCTTTTAAAGAGTTGCATATGCTTTTTAGTTTTGTTAATTTAGATGGATAAATTAAAATAATGTACAATTTTAGCCAAGAATTATATCTCTATAGCATTATTACACTTAAAGAGAAAATATTATTTCTTCTTCAGGTGTGTAACTATTCCACTACGACAAAGGGCAACTTAAGTATCCACATGCAATCGGATAAGCACTTAAACAACATGCAGACACTGCAGAATGGAGGCACCATTGGCTCTGCACAGGAGCAGGTCTTTGGACATACCCCAGGTGGAGTGGTGGCTGTACCTTCAGTGACCCAGGCCAGCAGCCATCATACTCCACACCATCATCCAACGCAGTCGTCCACTCACATGTCTGTGCCATGTGGAGCCCCCTCACCAACAAAGCCGAAGAGCAAACCTACCTGGCGGTGTGAAGTTTGTGACTATGAAACCAACGTTGCGCGGAATCTACGCATCCACATGACCAGTGAAAAGCACATGCACAACATGATGCTTCTTCAACAAAATGTGACTCAGATGCAGCATGGGCGACTTGGCTTAGGAGCCATGCCCTCACCATCTGAGGCTGAGCTTTACCAATATTACCTGACCCAGAACATGAGCCTTCCACCAGGCCTTAAGATAGATCCAGCTGGACCGGAAGCCCAGTTCCTGATGGGGAGTTTTCATCTGGATCCCAGCATGGCTACCTTGGCGCCTGCACTCGGTGAGTCACATCTTGCCTCTCTAGATTTTAAAAACAGACTTAGTTTCCAACACTCAAAACAAAATTTTATTTCCATTAATTGTTGTACACATGTTGTGGGAAAACATCTTGGCAAAATTAGGAGAAATACAGACCATATGTCCCCGCCTTCTCAGCTAGATATACAGGACTGATAATTGTAAATGTTGGTTAATTATGCTTTAAATTGTGTTTCTACCATTCATAAATACCATTTTGGTACATATGACCATTTAATGTAAAGCAAAATATGTATCATATGATACATTTGATATATATTTAGACTCTAAAAATAATTGATTCTTCTACCTTTCATATTCTTGGTGAGTTAATGCCTCATACACTGCCTCTGCACAGGACTTTTCTTTAATCCCAGTTTTGCTTCCTCCTGGTGGATTTCAAACTATTACTTTCTGTTCCTGCAGTGTCTGTGTTCTACTACCATTGGGTCCCGCAGGATTTCTGACCATTACCCTTGCTTCCACACAAGCTGATACAATAGTTCCATTAATTTAGTTCCCTCCCCCATCGTCCTTTAAAATGGATCTTTCTGTTTTTTAAGGTGCTGTGTGAAGTATATCCAAGTTGTTAGAATCTTACCGATAGTACTGGGAAGCAGGGAAGGAAGCTGACAGGTCACTCAAACTCCTCTGAATAGGAGTTCAAATAATCTAAATTTTGGAATTTTAGATAAATCTATGAACAAACTACTCTACTTTAATATTATTTGAATGTATTATCTAATGGTATATCAGACCAGAAATGGATGGTATTTATTGTTTCTTGCTCTGTCTTTGCATTGCTGAAGATTTTTAGTTTTGAGCATAACACTAAAAGCTGTACTCAGTCCCAATACTCACTTGTACTAAAATCATGGTATGAGAAAATGATTTTCAGAATTAATACGATTGGGAGAGTGATAGCTTGTGGTAGAATCTACGCTAAAAAGCGCAGCTCTACTCCAGCAGACATTTATTTAAAACTACTGGTTAAAAGATTATCTATAATTTGTAAAAACCTATTGGTACATAAAAGCAGATTGGTTGACATAGTGTGTATTTCTTTCTGCTTTTATAAAAATAGTAAAATATTGTATGGAAATAATTGCAAAACTTTCAATCAATACATTGAACAAATGATCTACAACCAAATTCACTGATGCAGGGTCCATATCTATAGTAACTCAATAAATCCATCTAGGTATGAAGCATAAAGTCACAAAGGAGAGGAAGGCATGAGATGCAGAACAGTACTAGCATACTGTTTCAGCATGTCGGTGCATCTGTTAGTGAGTATAAGCAGCAATGACTGGGTCTGCAAATGATTTCAGAGGACTTCTCAAAGGTCTCTCTCTCTTTGCTATAAAAGCCCAGGTAACAGCCTGCCTTTTGCAGCAATAAATAAAAAGGAGCTGCTGGTATTAATTTAGTGTAAAGCCAGGATAGGTCAGGCCTGCATGCTCAGTCTGGGCACTGAAGATTAAAGAACAGCAAATAAAGGCAAAAGTGTCACCTCTTACCTAATTTATTTTTGGCACATTGTGAGTTGACATGCTTTTTATTCCCTCTTTTCTATTTTATGTAAGTGTTTTAATGTGTTTCAAATTTTAGTTTTGAACAGCAGTGTTTGGCAAACTTTCTGTTTTTTTTAATTAATTTAACATGCTTTCAAGATAAACTGGATTTGGATTTTATAATCATTTGTTTTTAAAGTTGGGGCATGATTTATATTATTGGTGGCAGGGCACTTATCCTAACACTGGGACTAAACACATTCATTTTGTTAAGATAATGAAAAAAACTAAACAAAAAAAACCTTGCATATTGTTTAAATTGTAACATTTAATTATATAATTGACACAAGGTGTTTACATGAGGGCTATAAAAACACACACATAAACCTTTTGTTTTCCTGAGATTTCCTGTTTTGGGTCAGGTCAGAGTACCACTAATTTCCTATTAGCTAAATACATGACACACATAACATTATCGAGGATGTTTTACTACTTTCTTCAAAGCCATAAATCCACATGCACTAAAATTACTATGCCTTTAAACTGTTTGTGAAAACTGAGATGATGAGGTCATGGTTTGGTTTTTTTTCTTTGTGTCTTCTCTTTGGAAAATCTAAAGAAATCAGCAAAGATATATCAGGATGAGACCTGAAGACCTCCAGTTCTGTTTCATCTCTGGGTACAATTGATATGACGCTGTCAGTCAATCCAGATCTCAGAAAGTGGCATGTTCATCAATTCCAACTGTGACATGCTAACATAAACTTCATTGAAATGTTCGGCCATCAGATCATTCAGAAAGAGGGCAGGTTTTTTCTTACTCCTTTGTCCATGACAGATTAAAGTTTGTCAAAACAGTCAGGGCCTAAAACCTTATTGTCAAAGATGTGTCTTGTCGTAAAATTAAAGTGTTTTGTCTTGAACATTTTGAGACTTCTGCTCTTGACAAACTAGATGACATCATAGGGAAAGAAAGTTATATAATGAAGCAACACATGAAAAAAACACAAATCACATGTTATAATGTCAAATAGTGAAAATAAAAAAGATTTGTTTTTTACAGTGTAGATAAACGCTACTGCAATGTTCCCAATGTGTTAAGGATCAGTTTAACACTCGAGCTGCACTCTCCTTCATTTTCTTTTTGCTTTTTCCTATAGGTGGGGAAATCCCAGTGGATGTGCGTCTTGGCGGTGGGCAGCTGGTGTCTGAGGAACTGATGACTCTTGGAGAAAGTCTATCACAGACCACAGATCCCTCCCTCAAGCTCTTTCAGTGTGCTGTGTGCAATCGCTTCACCACTGACAACCTGGATGTGCTAGGCATGCATATGGGTGCCGAACGCAGCCTGCCAGAGGAGGAGTGGCGTGCCGTGGTGGGAGACTCTCATCAGTGCAAGTTGTGCCACTACTCAACTCAGCTTAAAGCCAACTTCCAGCTGCATTGCAAAACAGATAAGCATGTGCAGAAGTACCAGCTTGTTGCCCACATCAAAGAAGGGGGCAAAGGCAATGAATGGCGCCTGAAGTGTGTGGCAATAGGCAATCCAGTGCACCTAAAGTGCAATGCCTGTGACTACTACACTAACAGCCTGGAGAAGCTGAGGATGCACACTGTCAATTCACGCCATGAGGCCAGCCTCAAACTGTACAAGGTCAGTGGTTCTTAAGTTGTTTTTAATCACACATGCCACTCACCCTTTTCTTTTCTTCTTAGTTTGTCAGTTGATTTTTTAAATTTATACATTGGTCAATTTTGTAATCTGTATGTGTCCTGCAAAATGTACTTGTTATAAGTTTAAAAATGTCTGGGAAAAGTATGATTGTCCTGTTATACATAGCGGTTTTTATTGTCTTTTTGAGAAGTCAGAACATCATAGAGTTTTGCAGAAAGGGTAAAACGCTTATTCAATAATCTCCATGCTAACTTGATCTGCCTCAGCAAGACTTAATAAATGTTCTTGTGTTGCCGACATTACCGCCAGCTGTTCTCTGGAGGCATGAATAGCATCTTTGTTGTGTAGCTGTCATACAGAAGCCGGGCCCACTAGTGCCCTGAGAAGAACATGGCAGGACAAGCTGACTTGGAAGCTTAGGACTAAATCACTTGGTAGACGAATGAAGAAGTGTTAGGAGACAGAGGTTTGGTGCTAATACTCCTCTGAGCGGGAAGGGCTGAATTGTTCTCGACAGCCGTATTGATTTTTGCTGGACTTGGAGCTTCACCTTCTCCTCTAATCATTCCATAATAGCCAGTGGATGAACACTCTCCGAACAAATGGCCATAAATCTAACAGGCCTGATTCCACTTAGGTGCCTATCCTGTATGTCTGCGGCTTTGGCTAGTCTGCGCTTAACCCAAACTGGCGTAGTTGCACATATGCACAAGACACACAAGCACTGGGAACACATATGTGGTGTCAACTTCGGCAACATGCTCAAGGAATGCACCATCTTTTTCCATCTTTCTATAGAATATATGTTTAGGAAGTTCCTTATTGTCATTAACTAGTTTGGATTAATGACAGACTGGGATTTTATTTCAATTCCTGCATTCCTTTGCACTTGTGGCATCTTATCTGTTGTAAGAAATATCTAAAGATGAGAGAAAGAAAGACATACTTGCTACCTTGAGCATGGGCTTTTAATTACACACAAAAAAACTGAGCTTAAAAATCTAATCAATTTAAAAGCCTAGTAGCATGACAAATGATCTCCTAGACTCTGTGGCATGACAAACATGTTTTTGACAAAGGGTTTTTGGACTGAAATAACAGTAAGAATGAATAAAAAGGCAGGTGAAATCGAGTGCTTCAATTGCATCTTTTACAGGAGCCCAGGGATGTTTTTGGGTTGTCATTTTTGTTAGGCAACACACATTTCATTCAAAGATTGTAATTTTTTTGGGTCTATTTCTAGGATAATTTACATTCCTCTAAAACTGTGTAGTTATTTAAACTTTAGGGGCAAAATTATTATGCATGTGTGACCGTGGATCCAAGCTGACAGATTTGAGCATGTTTTCGCTCATCCTCACACTTTTACAGAGGAGAACATTGTTCCTGCAGAACAGGGCATTTCTTATTGTCTTCTAGCTATATCTTTGCTATGACCCTAATGATCTAAAGACATTGTGTGGTCTTGTCTTTTACTATATTTCTTCACACAAGGTTTTTAGGTGAGGAAATACATGTCACACAAGAGTTCAGGCTGTGAGGGATTAAATATGTACAACACATCCAGGGATGATTTTTTTTTTACTTAAGCCTCTTAAGATGGCTCCATATTTCTTAAAACCAATTGGTTTTCCAACTAAGACTGTGTGCATTTGTCCAGAAATCACCTGATCCATAAACCAGAGAAAATGTTAGTTCTTGTAAGCTCTGCCTCATCCCCTACACAACTCAGAAACAAAGATGAGCACAAGTCGACAGGATTCATTACAGTAGTTTATGACTGACCAATGTGACAAATACATGGTTGTGAGGTTTTTTCAGCTGCACAGTTTTCTTACTCCTTTAGATTTACAGTTCTGGTTGAGATACTGACAGGCAAAAATCTGCCTTGCCCACCAATGCCTGCAAAGGCCTCTTAGTTTGTTCATGGATGAAAAAAGAGAAAATCAAAACAGGGATAAAATAAATCATCAACTCAGCATAAACATGCTGTAAGATGTGGGACATGCTCGGGACACTTCACCCAAATCAAACTGGTTTGCATTAAACTAGGCCTTTGTGTGTGCAGTGCCATATAAATTGGAGCCTGTAATTACTGGAATTAAAAAGGAAGGTTTAAACTGAGAGCTAAGTTAGATGGGATAATTTCAGAGTCTGTGGTATGTGGCCCATATTAGGGCTTTCTAAAAATATCACCCCCACCACCCCATGTATCGGAATGTTTTAGGAGGCCACAGAATGATCCAGCAACTTATCCTGACCACCGGACCACCACACAGCACGGGCTGATTCTGTCTGCTTCTAAACGGTGTCCCTCAAATTAAATACACTCTTTGTGAGAACCGTGTTCTGTCTACTGAGCCATGAGATCTGAAGCTTTCTTTTGCCTTCTTATTTTCCCCAAAGAGATTTGATGGGATGGGAATCAATCTAGAATGGTCACTCCTGAATTCAAACCCATGTTATGTTGCCGTGCGGATAACCTCAGATGATCCTTTACAGTTTGCACAACGCAAATAAAATATATTTGTAGCTTAGCTTTGACGTTGATCCTTAAAAAAAACCTGCTTTACAGCTGGACATTTACATAATATTTTACATGTGTAGGGATAATCCCTTATGATAATATGTGGCAATGACAGGCTAATCCTTTTTCACAACCTGGTTGTTCTAACAAGCGGGAGCGGATGGGGCCTCACCAGGCCTAGCTATAGGCCTCAGCTTGCATTGAGGGGTTGGAAGAAAGGGGAGAACATGGGGGGAGGTGGGGTTTGCTGGCTACCTTCCTTGTCTCGGGGGCCGGTGCAATCGGCAGTAATTGAGATTGATTGGATGTTATTTTTCCTCTTGCAAATGTAGTCCATTAGCTTGGCACATGCATAATCAGTTTAGAGCACAGTTAGCCGAATGTAATCATGTTCCTTGGTGTCTGCTAGCACAAAATCCACTCCAGATGCCAGTTGGCTACGGAAAGATGGGGAGAAAGTGCCGTCACTATCAAACATGGAATCTTAAACTGAGAACGTCCCGACATCCCTTCCTGTATCTTGGTCCTGCTCTATTGAGCACACCTAACTGTAAAATGTTTTCTACTTCCTCTGTTTGCCATACACGCTCGTTCAAAAACTAGTGTTTATCCCCTCAAAAAGTCAGTTTTCATTCTATGATCTGTCCATCAACAGACATATCAGTTTTCTAAGTTGTCTGCAGTTGTTTTATCTCATGTTATGACTGAAATGGAGCAAATGAAATATAAAGACATGTCAGTCTTCTGCAAAGTCAAATAATCCCTATAAATGATAATTGAGGAGTGAAGGGTTTAACATAAATGAAAGGATTAGTTGTTACATGCATTAAGTGTTTCCTTGATTATCCTTCTCAACAAACTGTGGAACGAGAGGCTTGATTATCTCACATTTTAATGATCATGAGTGATGAGATTGACTCCAAATCCTTTTATAATACCAGTTATGTAAGTTTGAAAAACACAAGAAATAAAAAACAGACTCTTTTGTTGTTTTCAAAGTTTAAATCCCTAAAACAAGGGATAGTTTGAAAAGAGAGACTCTTCATGATTTAAAAATTTAATTAGGCATAGTGATATCGTCTAAGCTGCTATGACTTATTTGTGATTTTTTTTTTTTTTTTTTTTTTTTTGGTTTCCTCCAAAACTTTTCTACTTACTATTTTCTCTCTGATCTTGCAATGATGACAGTGAACATGATCAAAGCATACTAAAAGTTGAGTGGAAGAAAAACTATTTTCAGAAAAAGGTGTGTAAAAGATGGGGATTACCATAGGCCTGAATGGATTGTGCTGCAAAGCCCATTCAAAACATTCAGGGTGACTCATAGGCCACAGACTGCATCTGGAGTCGAATCTTCAAGAGGCACAGGCTTATCCAACATAAGAGCTACACTGTCACGTTACTTGTGTTAAGTCTAAAACACATCGCCCTTGAAATAAGACCTGGTGAAATTTAACTGTATAAATAAAGGTGAAAAGAAAATAAACAAGGTGCCAGAAAACTGGCCTTACCTAAATTTGTATAAGTATTATTACAAATTTACTGCTGTAATAATATTGTTCTAAGAAACCAGATTTTTGTTTTTTCTTAGCAGCAAGACATAATCATAGGAATCAGAATAAATCCTTCTGATATAAGAGTATCACTTTTTGGATTGAATCAATAAAATAAATCAGCGGTCAGTGATATTTAAATTTATTTAGATGTACCTGTGGAGTTGAAGTAGATGTTACTCTGTCAAACATCACAGGAAAAAATTGTGGCAGATAAGCGACTGTCCTGAGTGAACTCCCAGGAGAGCCTGGTCTTAATCACTCAGAATTCATGCAAGATGATTGGTAGAAGGAGGATGGATGGACAGGGAGAAGAAAGTGGGGGTGGTGGTGGCGATGGAGGGGGTTTACAGGAGAGTTCGACGGATAGATACTTTGCTAATTATCATGGCTAGCCTATGATTGTTCAGTAATAGTGCTCAGTGGGAAAGGTTGTAGCTGTTCCAGGAAGAGCTGCGCTCTGATTTACTGGTACTACTGCTCTAATAAAGCGTGAGCTGCACATCCTGGGAGACAGCCCATTCTCTTCTTTCACATGCACAAGCGTGTGAACGTACACAAAGAGACGGACAGGCACAGACTCACAACCGATCTAAAATTTAACAGGAATCATAAAATGTATAGTTTTAATCATTCAAAGCAAAGACAGATTTGTAAACACAGCACACCTACAACAAGCCTTATTGTTTACTTGTACAGCTCATAACACGAGGTTCCTTGTGTTGGGTGTCAGAAGTTGCTTACAGGGGATTGAATGCCAGCATCCTCACTCAAAACAGGCTCAGACTTTTTAACAAGAAAAGACTGGCATACATCTTGAAATCAAGGTATTTTGAAGAGGGAAAAGTAAAAGAGGACTGGTAGGGCTTTGTGTTTGGCGAGGTGCAGAGGAAGTTTAC